CAATCTCAATCGCTGTTTTAGCACACCCCAGGGGCAGCACACTCCCGGGGATGGGGCCAGCACAACACACTGGGGATTGAACCCAGGTCCCTGCATCTGCCTAAACAGACACTTTAATCTGCTGAGCTATCTGGCCAGCCCTATAAAAAATATTTTTTGAAGGACAGTAGATGTAGCTCATGGCAAAGGCCTCAGGTTCAATCCTCAATATCAAGAAGAAAAAAAAAATAAGTAGTGGTAATTTTTTTTTAAATAAGTGGATTGATGGCATAAAAAAAATTAAGTGGTTTTTTTTTCTCACAGTATGTAATAAGTACTAAGGCTATTATATAATAAAGTTGGATATTTAATAGGAAAATTATCTTGAAAGGTTAGTAACACCCTAGGGATAAAGGAATAAAGCCAGACCCTGGGGGAGGGTTATCTCTATTATTCTGGTTGTAACTTTGGAAAATATACCTTTTTTTTTTTTTTTTTTAATGTATTTAGTACAGGGTCTCAGTACGTAGATCGGACTCGAGTGATTCTGCTGTTTTCAGCCTCCCAACCACTAGGATTACAGGCGTATACCACCACGCCCAGTCTCCATCACTGTGTCAGTGCACCCTGGGGGCGGGGCCGGCATGGCATACCAGGGATCAAACCCTGGCCGCTGCGCTCTGCCTTAAACAGGCACTTTAGTCTGTTGAGCTATCTGGCTGGACCTTAAAATACACCTTTTTAGTGATCCTTTTAAAGGTAGAAATACCAGCATAACTCCCATTTTGTGGGTTACCCTGATAATTTTTTGGCACCCACTCAAAACAGTTAGAACCCAGTCCAAATCTGTGCAGTGGGCAACCCAGCTCTTTAACACTGACCTGAAGTTGAAAGTGCTGATGTTGGCTTGTGTGCTGGGCTAGAGCCCAGCAGTGGACGCCGGTGCTGGGGTTCTTGCCAAACGTGTGAGGCCCGGCTTTAAGTCACCACTAATGTGAAAGAAATGTTAAGTTCTCTTTTTCACCGAACTTCTTTTTACTACATGGTTTAACTCTTGTCAGCTACTTCCACAATTTGTTCTTAGCTCAGTGAAACTGAATCATACTAATTTATCTTCCTCAGACCAACTTACTCAGCAAACAGAAATGAAAAGCCTTTCGCTTCACTTATCATCCTTGTCCCTTAAACTTGATTTCAGTCTTCACTGGAAAGCTTTTTTTCTGCCATTCGGATGGGTTTAATTTCCCTTAGTAAAGTTAGAGTAACGCGCTTTTAATATTGCAGTTTTACTCTATTAAACAGAACAATCACAGTCAGAATGAGAAAGGTCAAGAGGCTTGATGTTACGTTGGAAAAAGACCCACATTTAGGTGGACACACAGGTTGGTAAGACTCTTTCAGGAGACACTGGCAATATCAGAAGTTATGATGTACATACTCAAGGAATTCTCTTTTTAGCAAATTATTCTATAAACTTGCATCCACACACAGTATTTGTTGCAACCTCTTTTATGCTATCTTAGATCTGGAAACAACACAGATGTCTTACCATCAAGGGCCTAGCTAAATAAAGTATGATACAAATATAATTAGTAACTGTTAAAAAGAATGAAGGATATTTATATTAAGTGATATGAGAAGTCTCTAAAAATATATCATTTTAACAGTGTGTATTGCATACATATATTTATAAGTATTATAACCATCTCTGAAAGAATGTGCAGAAAAATCCCAACAGTTTGTGTTCCAATAAGATATCTTAGCTAGGCACCTGAATTTTTGTTTGTTAATTTGTTATTTACATATGTTTGCTTTTCTTTCCTTTTCTGGGAGCATGTTTTTTTTTTTTTTAATTTGGGTCAAAATGCATAGCCCAACCTAGCCTCAAATTTGTGGCAATCTTCCTGCCTCAGCCTCCCAAGGGCCAGGATTACAAGCATACACTAAATCTGGCTCTGCTTTTCAAAAATATATAGATACATATCTATACATAAAAATGAAAATGTTAGATTTCAAGTAGGAAAATAAAGAGAAAATATAATTTCATACACAGGTCTAGAAAAACTGTGACAAACCTCTGGATCCTAGAATAATTATATCATACCATTATAGGTGTCTAAATGTCTCAAGGAAAATCTGCAGTGTGGTTCAGATCCCCCACCCTGAACCTCATTGAATAATGAGCCTTGGATCTGCCTTCTAACATTCGGGCATCTGATAAAATTGTTGCTCCATGTGTAGCAATTAGAGTAATTATGATTTTGAAATACCTAATGATACATTTATGATATGTTTGTGTGGAAAAGTTTGAAGTACAAATGCTGCACAACGTTGCTGGCTCCTACTCCACGGTTATTGATCACGCGCTATGATGCCCTTGTTTCAGGCTCGAATGCTCATCACAGAGGAGAACCTGATGACCATTATCATTAAGACATTCATGGATCATTTGAGGCATCGGGATGGCCAGGGCAGATTTCAGTTTGAACGATACACTGCTTTACAAGCCTTCAAGTTCAGGAGAGTTCAGAGCCTTATTTTAGATCTCAAGTGAGTTTTTACTTTGTTATCAAGCCAACTCCACCGGCGAGGTGGCAGTGCTCCTGTGCTCATTGCCGCTGCTGTCGCACCCAGGTATGTGCTGATCAGCAGGCCAGCTGTGTGGTCAGACGAGCTGCGGCACAAGTTCCTAGAAGGGTTTGATGCCTTTTTGGAATTATTGAAATGCATGCAGGTATGTATGAAATGACATCTCTTTCTGTCTTCTTTCTCTCTCTTTTTATTTTTATTTCATTTTAATTTTTCTTGTTTTGTCATTGAACAGAACATTTTTCTCTTGATGTTTTAAACCCCCCCCCCCATTTTGAGCACAAATATTCCAAAAGATCAATTTGGATGGTTACGGTTTAAATCAAGAATTCCCTTTCTAGGTTCTACAATCTGAGGTACAGGATCTCAGGACAAATCCTGAGGGCATTTCACTGACCTTCTCAGACCAAAAAGCTACAACTCTTGTTGCATA